ACAATTGTTTAACAATTTCCTTAAAGCACTTATGCAGCATATATTTTTTTTATTCCTGAATGTTCCATAAATGTTCATATAAATTGTTTCCTTATTTAATCTGAGATTATAGTTTATTTTATGTACATATTCATATAAATCTTTAATATACAGCAACTGATTGTTCCATAGTGTCTCACAAAACTGTTCTTTTGTAATATTCAGAGGAAGGAGGGAGCATGAATAACTACAAAATTCATTAAAATAACCAAAGGCTATTTTATGCTTTACTTCACTTTTGTACTATTTTGTTCATCACACAAGACACAACAGCAGTTGAGGGAGTTCAAGAGAATAAAAAAAAAATTTTTTTAAATATTTTTTCTGCCTTTTTTTAAAAAAATTAAAAGTTCCAAAGCGGATAGTTGCCACCGCACACCTTAAATAATATTTTTTTGTACATATATATCTGTGCCGTACATAAATGGTAAAAGTATTTCATTGAGGAGCATAAAAAAGCCACAAAAAGTTTGCTGTGCAAAAATATTGAGGTTTTGAATGCTTTAATTTTAATATTTTTTCTGTTGCTATTTTATTTTTGCTTTTTATTTGTTGTGTGCCAAATGAAATAATATTTTTTTTTGCTGTTCAAAGGAGGAATCAGTTGAGGGATGAAAATGTTTGAAATTATTTTATTTTGATTGAAATGGGCGCATTTTATTGATTTTGTTAATTTTTTGTGATGTTAAGCTAGATGATGACCCTTCATCCTTATTAATTACTGATCATTTTACAAAAAGCTAATTCAATTGTCAAATAAGTTAATTTTAAGCCATTTCAGATCATTTGAGTTTACATTTTTGGTGTAACCAAGCCAGGAGCGCAGCCAGGAATTTGAAGGAGGGTGGGAGAACAAAATTTATTTTGTACGGTAAATGTGAAGGTTAGCTTTATAATTTCTTCATAAAAACCCTAGTAAAATGAAGAAATTGGCCTTTTAAAGGCGTATGAGGTCTCTTAAAGCTATGTGAATACAGAATATATGCACCCTTGTGCTGCACTTAGCTTAACCACACCATGCACCATTTTCACCTTCTCGCGATGAAAGGCCGTTAATCCAAGTAACATAGAAGGGTGGAGACAAACGTGGTTCTGGTCTAATAGGTTGCATTAGCCCAGCAAACTGCCAACCTTAACCACAAAGCTAAGAAACCCAGGCCATGGATCACAATTGGTCGGTACGGCCAGCGAAGTAAAGTAAATGAAGAAATTTCTGTGGACGTAGTTGGATTTGTCACCCAAATCCCCCGTTACTCTCCTAAACCAAAGATACTCTAGAGGTATAAATTAGGATACACTCTAATATGGTTAAAAATCAGCAACTATACCTTTTTATAGCCTTTCAACCTTGACTATCCTTCAAAATATCCTTACCAACCCTCTTATTGACTACAAAGTGCTTAAGATTGGTTTAGAACTTTCTTAACAATTTTGAAAAAATCTTGAACCCCCTCAAAAGACTCTGGCTACGCCTTTCAAGATTCATTCAACAATTTAATAAATTTCAATAAAACCCCAAAATTTCCTCTAAAAATTATCGCAAAAAATTGAAAATTCATCAAAAAATTTCAAATTCCAATCAACCCCAAACCTTATTCACAAAATACACCACAACTTACTCTTCCAAACTGAACTCACAATCTTCATCATTTCATAAATTCTTCCAAAAAAATAATATTATTTATACGAAAGAAATAAAGATGAAAAATGGAATGAGAATCTGTGAGTACAGATAGTGATGGTTGAGGAATATTTCAAATATCTATCTCTCTGTGGGAACTGCACATCCAAAAAAATATATATATTCACCATCCGGACGTCATGGAGTGCTATAACCAGTGACTAGACACAGTATGATGTCAGTCAATCCTTTCATTCTGAGAATCGCATTACACAACTGGTTGAAGATTCCGAGTGAAAATGAATAAATTGTGAAGGAAATGCAGTAAGAAGAGAAGATTGCTGTGTTGATACTTTGGCACACAGTTGCTGGATTGTTTTTTGCTGGTGGAAAAGTTGGAATTTTGATAGATTGGAGAGAGTATGGATATTTAATGGAAATTACATTCAGACCCTCTCCGATGAATAAAGGAACTTAAAATCATTTGACTGAAATTGTCATTTTCATCAGATTCAAGAGCCTTTCAGAGCCACAACAGAGTGAAATTGTGAAAAGGATGTCTTGGGCTGGTTTATCAGTTCAAGTTCCTTCTCATTCAAAGTATTCAAGGTTTTGGATGAATAAAGTCGACTCAAACGGTCATTATAGATAGTCAACTCCAAGGGTCATTTATGGATAAGGACAGTCCTCTGAAAAACAAAGCAGATGGTCAGCCTACCCTAAGGTTAGCTTCATATCTATGTCAGCCAAGCAAGCTAAGATCACAACTGTTAATTCAACTTCTAGTAAGTTAATAGTCCAAAAATATACTACCCGCAAACTATACAAAGAATTCCAACACTTTCCAGGCTTCAAAAAAGTAACACAAAAATCATTTTTCTTACTCAGTTGCATTTGAATGAAGAGACTGACTACAGCGAAAAAAATAGAAGAACAAGTAAAGCATAAAAAATTCGTGAACATAATGCAACAAATCAAAAGCTGTTAGATTACAATGGAATGAAAATGTAACGAAAAACGATGGGAACTCAACAGAGCAGCAGTGGCAGCAGTTTTGGAAAGGAAAACAAGAAAATTTTATTCAACAGTAAAATTAAAGGCGGAAGAAAAACTGGCGTTTACCCAAAAATTTAAAATGTTTTTTTTTTTCGTTACTTCCTACAGCGAACTTGTGTACATGGACAACCCGTTTCAAGTCAGTTGCCAGAAAAATTGTTACATTTCCACTCTTTCCTGTTGTTTTTTTTTTTCGTACTCGCAATTGTGAACATTTATTCTTTTTTCTGCCTGCTCTTCTTTCAACAAGCCCAAGTAACAATAAGAAACACACCCTTACATTACTTACTGCATTATCTTCATCTGCTATGACAAACAGATATACACATTTGTGTACATTGAAACTGTGCTATAGTTTTATAATAGAATCACAGCAGTAGTAACAGACGAAGGAGAAATGAATCAGGACATGCTTGTTGTGCAGAAAAATAAAAACATTTAGAAAATTGTAATGCCGTTTGCTGATGCAGTAACTGTAAGATATTGTTAGACAATACGGAATTGGATCAATTCATCAATTCTGATAAATTCAGATAAGTTTAGGAAATGTTGACTAATTCAGCGTTTTCAGTTGATTCCAAGCTATTTGATGAGCTCAGCTTATTCAACTTAAATGGCTCATTTCAACTAAATCAGCTTATGCAGCTCAGTTCAGCTTATTCAGCTCAGTTCAGCGTATTTAGCTCAACTCAACTTATTCAGCACAGTTTAGCTTGCTCAGCTCAATTCAGCTTATTCAGAACAGATAAGCTCATTCAGCTCAACTCAGCTAATTCAGCACAGTTTAGCTTTTTCAACTCAATTCAGTTTATTCAGCACGGTTTAGCTTATTCAGCTTAAATCAGATTTTTCAGCTCAATTAAACTTATTCAGCACAGTTAAGCTTTTTCAACTCAATTCAGTTTATTCAGCTCTATTCAACTTATTCAGCTCAGTTTAGCTTATACGTCTAAGATTCAGCTTAATTCAGCTTCTTAAGCTTAGTTCATCTTATTCAGCACAGTTTATCTTATTCAGTTCAGTTCAGCTTATTCAGCTTATTTAGCTTAATTCAGGTTCTTCAGCTTAATTCAGCTTTTTCAGCACTTTTTAACTTGTTCAGCTAAGTTGTGTTTATTAAACAGGTTTGAAGTTTAAAAAGAATTTCAAAAATTTTAATAGAAAATCTAAAAAATAAAAATCTTTAACAGACAAAACAAAAGACAACGAAAAGATCACCCAGCGAGAAATTTATTATAGCTGTATTCACATATGTCAATGAATAAATTTATTTTTCCGAATTATGAAAAATTATTCATGAACGACAGAAAAAAAAAATAAAAAAATATTTTTCATATTCGCTTTTCTTCGTTCGTAATCAAGACATTTAATTTAAGGAAAGTTTCTTCTTTCTGCAACTTGTGAATATATTTTTTTTGGCAAATATTCAAAATTCAAATTGAAAAATGAATAAACAATAGAACGAGGATGAAATCAGTGGGCGAGAATGGAATGAGACATAAAAACGTTTCATGAACGTTAAATTATTTTTCATTTGAGGAGAATTGCAGCAGTACAAAAAAAGTTGTTCACAAACTCGTTTAAAAATTTTCTGCTTGGATTTGGCAAATTCACGAGAGGTCACGTTATGCTGCGATGCATTTTGATTTTTAATGTCTTCTTCCTTTTTTTTGTTGGATTATTCTGGAATCAACAATTCTTTCATTTTGTTTTGATGCATTTTATTGTAATAAATTTGGGGAACATGTTTGAAAAATATGATTTTTTGGGGTTCATCTGAGTGACTTATTGATTTGGCAATTTTTAAGCATCAAGAGTGTGTAGCAAACATGCACCTAACGTCAACTCCCTGCAAAGAAACTCTTCTACATCCAAATCATTAATTCCATAAATTCTTCAACTCCTTAAAGTAATCTCCTGAAAAAAAAATTCTTGAGGATAATAGCTTTGGATTTACTTTCCTCTAAACCTTAAATTGTTTTTTATTGGGGTTTTTTATATTCGAAATATTTCTACCTGAACCTTTTCATCACGTTTCAATAATCCCCGCAACATTAACACCTTCTCGCGATAACTTCTTTAAAGGAAGAAAGGAAAGAAAGTCCAATTTTTTGTGTACCTTTTTTTGGGAGAGGTAAAGTATCTAAAATTTATTTGCCACGTTAAAAAAATGCGGAGTGCTTGAAACACCTGCTGGAAAATTAAATTTATTTTTTTTTACTTAATGAACATTTGATACTCAAAGACTTTTTGAGGAATTAAGGATTTTTTTTTTAATTCTTTTGCACAATTATCAAATTTTTTTGCACTTCATTGACTTGATTCTATTCGAGGCATGAGACTTGTTGCTATCTGTGAAATTTGCATGAATAAATGAATAATAAAATTCTGAATAATTTTGGATGTAATTCAATCAAATCGTCACAGATTGTTCGGGGCTTCATCCTCAAACTTTTTCAGCTGTTGGTCTTATCATTAATTCAGTAACATTGGCACGAGACGGAGTCGATAGAACATAAACGACACTTTCTGCTATGTCCTCAGGCAGTAAATACGGTATGCATGAGAAATATTCATCGACTGTTCCTGGAAAGCCAGCAACTTCAACCATGTCTGTTTTTACTTCACCGGGCGAAATGCTTGTGATGCGAATTTTCTCCCCAAATTCAGACGTTGCTAATTCTTGTCTCAACACTTCATTTGTTGCTGTCACGCCATATTTTGATGCTGAATAAATATTGTAGCTTGGAACATTTTCAGTTGGGAATGGAATGAAATGCCCGCCAATTGAGTTGATGTTCACAATGTAGCCGTAGTCGCGCTTCTTCATAGTCGCAAATGCTGCACGTGTACAATAAATAACGCCCATCAAATTCACATCAACGATTTGTTTTAAATCGTTATTTAATGCGTCGCCTTCGTCGAGGATGCGGATGAATCTTAATAGTTTTGGGAAGAGAAATTATTGATTATTTTTTTGAGGAAATTTTTGATTCCCTTTTCATTATTTGCACATTTTGTCAGACCCCCTGCCACCTCCCTGATTTTTGATTCGGTAGATACTTTAGACAGCCTCAGAAATCGGTCGTTAGCTTCACTCCTGGTTACTGCATTGCCACTTGAGCTCACTTTTATTTATTAATATAAATTAGAATTTAATTTAACATTCAGTGAGCTTTCATAGAGTGCGACACAGTAGATCTATTAAAATATTATCTATTGCTTCACATAACTAGACGATAGAGACACAAAACTTGCCAAAAAAATTGTAGAAATGATTCAAAATGGCTCAAAAGGCTCAAAATTACCTTTAATGTCAATAATTCCACAGAAACAAAGGTTTATCTTCCAGCTACTGATAACATTATCAACTCAAATCCAAATAAGTTATCTCACTAAGCCCACAATATCTCTTAGATTTCAAGCAACACTTACTTATAAACACCAGCGTTATTAACAAGTATATCCACACCGCCAAACTTCTCCTCAACCCATTGAAATGCAGCTTTAACAGATTCTTGATCCGCTACATCACACTTATAAGCATAAACTTTACCAGCGGCATCTTTCAATTCATTTGCTAATTCCTATACAAAATAAAATACAGCATAACTCTCGTTTAAATTGATGAACATCACAATGGTAAAGTTTTTTTTTACCTCAACTTTTTCAACGCGACGAGCAAGTCCAACAACATTAACACCGTAACTCACTAAACTTTTAACAATAGAAATTCCAATGCCTGCAGAAGCACCAGTTACAACTGCAATTTTTCCTCTCCATTTTTCCATATTTTTCTTTTATATGTATCCAGCTGTAGCCTGTAAATGCCAACACACGACTAACCAGTCAATGGAGAAAAAAAAAAATAAAGTTTGATAAATTGAATGCTGCTTTTATTTTAATTTAAATCAATTACTCCAATTATGATTTGCTGTGCTGTGAGCGAGAATAGAGAAATAACAGCAGTGAGCGACACTTGAATAGTAAATGAAATTAACCGCTGAGCAATCAACTCGCAAGTGGGAGAGAATATGGGAAAAAAAAGTTTCTTGATAAATTTTATTTTTGTTATGCAATAGAAATACTGATTAGATATCCATAAAATTTGATGAGGCTGGCGCATTTTAATTGGAAATTATGATAAAAAGTGAATGTGTTGAGTCATTTAATTTTGATAAAGCTAATCAGACTCAAAAGTGATTTAGTTTTTGATGACAAAATAAATTTGATAGTTTCTGTCGTGAGGATAGCTTTAGTTTTAATGTCTTTGGTGTCCAATGGTATCGACCTATTTGTAGCCTAATCTGTCATTGCGAGTCCTTCTCTTAAGTGACACAAAATAGGCGAGGGCCTCAATAATTGATTCTTGTTTCTAGCGAGACTTCAAAATGCAAATATGTAGTTTATTCCTTAAGACGTGAGTTTGATTCCCATCAGAGACTGATTGTAATACTTATTGTCATTCTAATTCCAATGCAGTCGACTGCAGTCTTAAGCATTTTATGAATCAACGTTATGTTGTGTATAGCACTTAATTTAATTCAGTGTTGTCGAAACTGTGTGCCGCGGCACACTTTTGTGCTGTAGAATTTTTTTGGAAATGACACTTGCCGCAAGCTTTGTCCGACTTTGGTCATGGCTTACCCCTAAGGTGTGCCGTGGCTCAAAAAGCTTGGACAACACTGATTTAATTGATAAAGTTCATATCTAGTAGGAATCGAACCCATTAATTTACAATGAACAGATGACTTGTCCAAACAACTCGATAATAGCCTTATTCTTATTCTGACAGTTTACATACATATGGGATGTTACTCTGAATATCACTCTATTCCAAGAAGTTTACTCTAAATTTCAAAATGTTTAATGAAGATCCTGTTTTTAAAAAAAAATAATCCTGGATTCAGTTATCAGTTCCACCTCAAATATCAACATATTGTCTCTCCATTCGATATCATAACTTCCTCAATTAATGCATCAATACTGAAAACAAAATATCGTCTATTCTCTAAAACTTCTGACTAACATGCTTGATGGTTAGCTCAGTAATATTGACATAGTATGGAGTAGTAAGCAAATAAGATACCGCATTCGCCACATCTTCTGCCTTGATTGATGGAACGTTTCCATAAAAGTTTGTTGGCGATGCATGTCCAGCTTTTGCAAAGAGTTCAGTGTTGACAACTCCAGGTGATATGCTCTGGAAGATAAAGGATTTGCTTGTTATTTGTTATGTGCCTTTCTTGCTGTGCACATTGTCAGGAAGTCCTTGCTTCAGTCTGAGCAAAGGCGCAGCTCTATATTTTGGCTACGCTCATGAGCCTGTACAGAAGAAGTATAATCTCAAATTTCACTTACCGTAACCCGAACTTTATCATTTTCTTGCATGATTAATTCCTGTCGCATAATCTCACTTGTGGCTGTGACAGCAAACTTGGTTCCATGATAAACATTATGTGACAAGCCAGGTGCAGGAAAAAAGATCCGATGACCTGCATTACTGTTGATATTGATGATGAATCCATAATCTTCTGACTTTTTTATTAGTCGATATGCTTCATGGCTACAATGAACTAATCCATTGAAATTCGTTTGAATTACTTCATTGATTTTGTCACCGCAATCTTCATCCCCAAGAATTTTCAGACTTTTTAATATTCCAGCATTATTGACGAGGATATGAATCACCTCAAATTGCTCCTCAATCCATTTAAATGCATCCTTTATTGATTCGAGACTTGTGACATCGCATTTGTGTGCATAAACTTTTCCATAACCTTCGCCAACAATTTTCTCTCCGTATTGTAAAATTAATTCAGGTCGTCGTGCCAATCCAATAACATTTATTCCATTTTTGAGAAAATCTTTTGCAATTTCTTCACCAATGCCAGCTGATGCTCCAGTGATAACTGCAAACTTTCCTCTCCACTTTTCCATCTTTACAATACGAATGTCTGAGTACTACTGAACATTATCGATTGTGTCTGCTGTATTACTGTATATTATTTACTTCCATTATCAACACTTAATAACACTAATGAACAAATGATAGGAAAGAATGTGAACTGACAGCTTTTAAGCAATTAAGAAGCAATAATGTAATATTTGAGTTATTTTTTTATTTTGATGATTCTTTAAAGGTCAATGCGATAAGTTTATAGCTTTTTAATTCTTTTATTTTACGTACGGACATGAGGTTATTCACTTATGGCATTCCCGAATAGCACAATCGGTTAATCGAATAGAAATCTGGGGCGAAGCTGGTATGACTCTGGCAAGGTGCAGGTTTCGATTTAAATCCAGCATCATGCTAGAGTCACAACGGCTTGGTGCCGAATTTCTGATCGATTAACTGACTTGTGCCATTCGGGATTAATCAAATAATAGAATTTTTAAAATCCAAAAATCGAATTTTCAGGAAGATCCAACTAAATAATGGACGTCATTAGCGAATGATTCCTAAGAAAAAAATAGCACAAAAGTCCTAAAAAGGTTCCATCACCGGTTTGATGATCACTTCCGTAATATTCACATGATATGGAATTTGAAGAAGATAAAGAATGACACTTGACACATCTGAAGAATTCAGCGCTGGTGAGACATCTTTGATCTTGTCAGTCTCAGCTATGAACTTTCCAGCATGAAAGAAATCAGTCTCGACAATTCCTGGACTTACGCTCTGGTTAAGGATGAAGTTAGTGCAATTTTTCATCATTTATTACTAATTAAGAAATCTCACCGAAACACGAATCTTATCATTCTTCAAAGCAATCAGCTCTTGCCTCAAAATCTCTGTCGTTGCTTTTACAGCATGCTTGGTTCCATGATAAACATTTGCTTCTTGACCCTCAAAATTATTCATAAATGACATCACATTGTGTCCAGTGATCGAGCAAATGTTGATAATTTTACAAAAATCCTCAGATTTTTTCATCAATAAATATGCGTGCCTGGTGACATGAACAAGTCCAGTAAAATTTGTATTAATTATGTCTACAAAATGATTATCAACTTCATGATTGTCGTTCAGAATTGTCGTCTTTCTGAGGTTGAAATAAATATTTTTGATAAAAATTAAAAATCAAAGATATTAAGGAACAACTTCAGCACACCAAAAACAACTCACTTTCCAATTCCAGCATTATTCACTAAAATATTAATAACACCAAACTTATCTTCAATCCACTTAAATGTCTCCTTAATAGAGTCAAGACTTGACATATCGCACTTGTAGGCATAAATTTTTCCAAATCCAGTTCCTTCAATTTCTTTGGCGAATTCATTAATCATTTCAGGACGTCGAGCTAGTCCAACAACAATAATTCCATTTCTTGCTAAATCTTTGACAATTTCAGCACCAATTCCTGCTGATGCTCCAGTCACAACTGCTGTCTTTCCTTGCCATTTGTCCATGATGAGTGCTCGATTAAAACTGACAAGAGATGAGTTTTTTACGCGTTATTATAAATGATTGACAATCGTCTTTTATGAACAGGACTGAGATTTCGCACCGTTAAACTTAACATTGTGTGTTCGTTACTCATATTAATACAAAATAGCCAGTTCTTATCTCCTAATTGAAGAATTTAATGTCTTAGAACTGGTTTTATCGCTTAAATAAGAATTATTTTCATCGTGTCTAGTATGAAAAATTATATGATACATAATTGTGACTATTGCATTCATATGAAGCTATGTCACTTATGTAGACTGCAAAAACCGTTTTGATTTTAACAGTTTATCATAGTTTTATGTTATAGAATGTTCCACATCATGTTGTAGCTGGTTAATAAACTGAAATTTTATAAGCAACACTTACAAGACTATGCAGTGCATCCATAGAATCTAGGGAGTATCCATTAATGTTTTCAGACAGTGGAATGTTGAATTTTATTATTTTAAAACTTTAACACTTCTAATTGTCAAAATTTAAGGAGCTGCAAATTTTTGTTTTTATCTATCGCGACCCAATGGACATAATATGACAATTAGCCTTGAAATTTGTACAAAAAAAATATGTCTTTAGCCTATATTTATTTTTTACAGAATCTGAAATATTTTCTGACCTTTTTCATTTCAGGTCAATAATTAGACCAACTTTATAATCTTCACATTTTTGAAAAAAATTTACGTACCCAATCAATAAAACACAAAAAAATCACAATGATTTTAAAAAATAGTATTTTTTATTTTACAATATCAAGGCCCACGATTTAAGAGCATTTGACAGCCTGCTGGAAGTATGTCGGGTCAACTTCGACATAGATTCGGGCCGAAGTACTTCCAGCAAGCCATGTAACATGCACAAAAGATATTAATGAATTTAAAAGGCTTCCAATACTGGCCTTACAGTGACTTCAGTAATATTGACATGATATGGCAATTGCAGTAAATACGTTATTACATTTGAGATGTCCGATGGATCTAAAGCTGGTGCATGATCCTTCATACGAACGTCTTCAGGCAGGAATTTTCCTGTTGTGAAAAAGTCTGTTTGAACAACACCTGGACTAAGGCTCTAAAATTAATTGAAATAGGTTGTTTGAAAACAAATGCTCGCGGAACTGATTTGGCTAATCCAGCGGTTCTCACCCTTTTTTAATTCAATATTTAAAAATTCTTTGAGCCGGAATATTGTATCGGAAAACATAGTTTGAGAACTACTGTAATACCCAATTGACCCCCCCCACCCTTCAAATAAAATACTCACTGACACACGAATTTTGTCATTTTTCAATGCAATCAATTCCTGCCTCAAAATTTCAGTTGTTGCTGTGATTGCATGCTTAGTTCCATGATAAACATTCGACTGTTGACCATCACTAAAGAAAGGAACTTTATGACCAGCAACAGAATTAATATTAATTATCATCGAATAATCATCAGACTTCTTCATCAGCAGATATGCATGTCGTGTGACATGAACTAATCCAGTAAAATTTGTATTTATTATATCAGCAAACTGCTTATCAACTTCCGAATTTTCTGTTAGTATTGTGGCTTTCCTATATCAAGTATGATGATTAGATTAAAATTTCTTAAATTGATAGCCAAAAATGTATTTTTATGGACAGTCACCTTCCAATGCCAGCATTATTCACTAAAATATTTACAGATCCCAACTGTTCCTCTATCCAGGCAAATGTTTCTTTTATTGACTCAAGACTTGTAACATCACATGAACGAGCATGAACTTTTCCATATTCAGCTGGAAAATCTTTCACATTTTCCTCAATTCTTGAAGCACGTCTTGCCAAAGCAACAACAACAATTCCATTTTTGGCAAAATCTTTGACAATTTCAGAACCAATTCCAGCTGATGCGCCTGTAACAACAGCAACTTTTCCCTTCCATTTATCCATCTCGAGAGCTCGATAATTACTGAAAATTATTTTTAAAATTTTTTAACGATAAGAAAGTCATAATTGTTTTTTTGTGACTGTATGTACTTTGTGTATTGTTGTGGTCAATATTATGCTTAGTAATGATTTTAGTCATGAATAGCTAAATAATGGATTTTAATGTTTACATACAAATTGAGTCAAGGAAGTTCATTAGTCTTCATATTACGTTTATTTTAAGCATTAACCTTAAAACTTTTCACCGACTGGTTTTACAATCAATTCTGTAACATTTACATCATATGGAAGTTCAAGCATGAATAAAACAGTTTTGGATACATCTGCGCTTTTTAACATTGGCAATACAGAGCTATCTAGCGGTGCATCTTCAGTATTTGGAGCATTCCAACCTCCAGCTTCGAATATTTCTGTTTCAACGGCTCCAGGGCTAATTTCCTGTGCATGTAAATGAGTTTAGAGTAGATTAATAGATGAATATAATGTGAGCAACTTACACAAACGCGAATCTTCAAGTCATTGAATTTAATAAGCTCATGACGCATTGAATCGGACACTGCACGTACTGCATGTTTTGTGCCTAATTTTTTCAAAAAAAAATGTTATTTAACTAGCAAAATTTTATAAAAACTAGGTTATGACCCCCCCCCCCTCCCCTCCACCTCTGTCAAAACACTTTCACATATGTCAATACCCCCCCCCCTCACTTGTGACGTCCAATCCAAGACACAAAAAAATTATAATTTCTTGATTAAAAAATTGGATGTCACAAATTTCCTGACCCCCCTCCCTCCCCTGTCACAATGTGTCATAAATTTTTTGAACCCCCCTCCCCCCTAAATGTTGGACGTAATAAGTGAACGACCTCTTCACATCGACGGAGCCATCATTTTAGTATTGACAACTAATCCCCTTAAATACACCCCAACACATCCATACCTGGATAAACATTAGTAAAATATGGCGTATACATTGAAGAATGTCCAGCTACACTTCCGATATTTATAATAATTCCATGTTCTCCATTTTGTCTCATTATTTTGTAAGACTTTCTTGTAGCCAGCACCAATCCAAGTAAATTTGTGTTGATGGTGTTTATTATAGTTTGTTCAATTGAGTCCTCATCGCCAAGCATGCTCTTTTGAATCGCAATTCCTGCATTATTCACTAAAATATGGAATGTTCCAACCAATTTCTCAATTTTTTCAAATGCTGCATCAATTGAGGCTTTGTCAGACACGTCACATTTCACTGGAATTACTTTTCCTTTCTCATCCTTTAATTGTTCCTTTAATGTCTCTAATCTTTCTAAACGACGAGCTAAAGCAACAACATTAATTCCATATTTAACAAAGTCACGAACAATTGCATCGCCAATTCCAGCAGAGGCTCCAGTTACAACTGCGGTTTTTCCACTCCACTTTTCCATCTTAACGTGAGGCTTGACAAATGAGAACTGAGAGAATTTATTTGCGAATTTATGGATTTTATAGGAATTTTTTTTATCGAGTTTGATTTTTGCTTTTGTAGTGACTTTTTGATGCACATATATTAAATTGATATTTGAAGCTATTAATATTTAAAGGAGTAAGCATGCAATCAAGCTTAATTAATAATAAATACAACCAAAATTTCAGCTAATTTGCCAAAATTCAAAGTTTATTGATCAAAATGTCAATTTTCACAAAGATAACATCCATTACTTAATCTTCTAACCTAAAATAAATGTAGATAACGTAGATAACAAAAATCAACAACAACAAACCATAAAGTGATTCATAATTTTCATTATTTTATTTTCTTATCAATCTATGAAAGTTTATTTACGAAATATTTACAAGGTCGTTCACTCGAGGAGTCCAAAAAGATTAATTTGCCACGAATGAAACTTTAGATTAGAGCAGAGGGTCTTAAATTGTGAGCTGCAGCACTTAAGAGGGCCATTGGAGTTTAGTAAATATTTCATGAACTTGTAGACCCCGGATTAGCGAAAAATTAAGGCTTATCCAGTATCAAACTCGTGATATTATTGAAACATCTAGAAGGAAGAAGCAAACTTCTAGATGACAAAACCACAGAAAAAGTATAACTCTGAATAACGGATCCCGAGCGGGACTCGAACCCACGTCTTACGATTTCCGGTCGCATGCTCCTACCACTAAGCTATCGGGGGTTAGGTGACTATATTGCTAAATCCTGTATATAAGTTACACTCTTGTGACTGTTCCCTTGCACAACATGATTTATCGTTGACTGGCTATTGCATGGCTATTACAGCTATGCATCTTTGTGACATTCAAACTAGTCTCTGATTACCTCTTCTATCATCTTCATTTCCATTTCCTCTATATTAATCATATGTGTGCATCCCCTTCCTAGTTATTCTTATAAACTGCTCTTATTGCTTCCCAGATTCATAAATTTTTTAATTAAAACTGCTCTCCTGTTGATCTAACAATCATTTCAGATACGCTCACTTCATATGGTGTACTTAGGATGAACATCACGCATTTCGCAATTTCTATTTGGTTTAACATCGGGACATCTTTAAGACAGTCATTGTTTTCAAAATATCCAATGATGGTGAGAACTCGCTGTCTACTAGACCTGGTGAAACGCTCTAAATTGTATTGAATTGAAGCATAACAACAATCAACATTTTAAGTAAGGGCTCATTCATAAATGATATCCTAGAAAAAGTTTAAAAAAATAACTATACCTACCGCAATTCGAATCTTTTTATTTCCAGCCCTGAAAAGTTCTTGTCGAATGCTCTCTGTCAAAGCAGCAACAGCATGTTTTGTTGAACAATACACATTCATTGAAAATGGAACAAAAGGTATCAGATGACCAGCAACAGAATTGATGTTGATAATTAAACCGTAATCATTTGACTTCGATATGAGTTGATACGCCTTTCTGGTGCACATCAATAAACCACGAAAGTTCGTATCAATTACTTGGTTTATATTGATCAGAGACTGCTCATCATTGTCAAGTATTGCTGCTTTTCTGTTATTGAATGAGGTTGTTAATATTTACTTTTTTAATTGAAGATGAAATTAACCGCAAGTGTCAGTTTGGAGTTGATATTTTTCAATACTTGAGTGTTTTTAAATTAGTTCAGAGGCTGGCTATGTATGATTTTCATTGACAAAGCACGATTAACTGACAAAAGCAACGGTTCTCCACAAAGTGACTTCGATTCCAATTCAGACCTTTGGGATCGGATTTTACGACCAATCCGAGTACCTTACTCTAGACATAGGTAAACTGGTCTAAGTCAACCTAAGACACATAGCTCACTTCTTAATTTAGGACATAAAATTTTAAAAATTAGGTTAGGATACCTTTTTAGCTCTAAATGCCACCTCTTGAACTAAAATTCCAAGCATAACCCAATCTTACCTCCCAATTCCAGCATTATTAACCAAAATATGAACAGCATCAAATTTTTTCTCAATCTCCCCAAACACTTCATTCACTGAGTCTTCTTTTGATATATCACATTCGTATGCATAGCAATTGACCTTGGAACTGCTACTTAATTCATCAATTAACTTTTGTGTATTTTCTATTTTAATATCCAAACCAATTGTGATGATTCCATGCGAAGCAAATTCTTTGAATATTGCGTATCCAATTCCAGATGAACTGCCAGTAATTATTGCGATTTTATTAATCCACTTTTCAGTCATTTTTGCTTGTTGTTTGCAAAATGTTTAGAAGTAAACTAAGTGAGACTTGTGCTCTATTCTTGATAATTGGGAGATGATAAGGGAGAGTAATTAATGGAGAGAGCTACTCTAGGCTAGATTATGTTATAATCTATGAGACAGGCGCGTAGCCAGGAGGGTTTTGCCCACCCCCCCCCCCCCCCCCCTTAGACGTTTTGAACCGCAGCAAGAGTACGACCTAAGTAGCTTAGGAGGGGGACAATACCCTTCTGGCTACGCACCTGCTATGAGATAATAAAAATTACAAAATAATTATTTACAAATGTCAAGGTTGCTGTAGATCTCATTCACCCGAATAGCACAAGTCGGTTAATCGATCAGAAATCTCGCATCAAACCAGCATTATGTTGACTTTTATTTAAATCCTTTTAAATTTCCGGTCAAATTCAAGCTTGTGAGTTTGACCTTATAAGAATTAAATTTGACTACATGAGAATTGAACTTAAACAAGTCGGGATCTTACTAGTCCGAAAATTCAGTTATCTGATACTTAATCTTACGTCTAGAAATTGCCAAAGTATTTAAAAATTTTAAAGCTTAGCATATTGATTAGAAACTTAGCAAGTACGACTAGCTTGAAAAAATAATTAAAAAGTTAAAGATTAAATTGAAGATAATTCAGCCTTTTAAGAAAGTGATCATTAAGTGTAATTTAACGATTACTTCACTATGTCATTTTCTGATGATTCTGGCCCGATCGGCACACATTGAAATTCATTGGGTTGATAGTACAATTAGAACCAAGTGGTAATCAATTGGCAATGGCAGCTACGTTGCAACCTTTTAACGTCCTATTGAAAATTGTTTCCAAGCGGCTCCTAATTATACTATCCGGTCGCTGGATGGCAAACAGTTCAATGTGTGCCGATCGGGTGAAAATGATCAATTTTTATTCTAGCTTGACATACAGCAGAACGATAGAGTAATTGACCTTGACAGTCAATATTTACTTTTTATTTGAAGAGCTGAGCTGTGAGAGAATAAAAATGCTATCAGAGATTGGTGTGTGAAGTAGTAGATTTATTTTTATTGAGAGTTATTATTTAATAAGAACAAGTGAACAAGAATATTTGAATACAAATTATATTCAAACCTTTCATTACCGGAACAAGTTTAGATATAAATATTATGATGATTTGCAAGTTTTTAGTCACTGAAGCATGAATTGCAAAGTTCTCAAATGATTCTTTCCTAATCACTGAATAGCTTAAATAATAATCAAAACAAATTAAAACTTCTCGCCAACAGGTCTTATTGTAAGCTCTGTGACATTGACATTGTAAGGTGTACTCAATAAATACATGACAGCTTTTGATACATCTGCAAAGATTCAGAATTTAATCATATTTAATCCATTCAAATTACAAAAGTGCTTACCATCTCCCAAAATGTATGGAAATCCTTCAAGAACTATTGAAGGATCAGACACAAATCCAGATGCAGCAACAAACTCTGTGTGAACGTATCCAGGCGACACACTCTGGAATTTAGATATTATCGAGTTATTTCATATTGGGTACAGTTTTGTTTGAGTTCAAAAGTAAGAGCTGAAGCTAAGGAACGCACTCGGAACCTGAATTTAAATCAGGAATCAAACCTGCTCTGTCTCTAGCAATCAAACATATCAAACTACAAATCTATTTATCAATACTTCTACTAAAATAGTAAACAATTTAATTTACAAGTGCTTCCTAATGACAAATATCACATCCACTAGATGCAACCTCCTAAATTCTTTTGTTGTCATTTGTCAATGATAAGATAAGAAATTTTAAAATTGTTTAAACTCACCGAGACACGAATTTTGCTATTTTCTTGCATTATCATCTCTTGACGCATTGTTTCTGTCAAAGCTGTAACTGCAAATTTAGAAGCACCATACATGCTCAATGAAAATCCAGTAAATGGAAGTTGATGTCCAACAACTGAATTAATATTAATAATCATGCCATAATCGTCCGATTTCTTCATTAATCGATATGCTTCTCTTGAGACATGAGTAAGACCGCGAACATTTGTGTCGAGAATTTCGTTCATCTTCTTGAATGACTCAGCGTTTTCGTCAAGAACACTTGCTGATCTTCCAATACCTGCATTGTTGATTAATATATTCACAACGCCGAATTTTTCTTCAATTGCTTTGAATGTTTCAGTTACGGAATCGGGACTTGAGACATCACATTTATAGGCATAAGCCTTAACATCACCCAACTCTTTAATGAGATCTTCAACTTTCTCAGCTCTTCTTGCCAATCCAATTGTAATGATTCCAGCTTTTGCGAAATCTTTAAAAACTGCAGCTCCAATTCCAGCTGATGTGCCTGTTACAACAGCAACTTTACCTGCCCACTTTTCAGACATTTTTTTACAATTAAATACTGTGCGACTGGATGCGACAAAGAACGAGAACGAACTAAATGATCATTCTCAATTGACTCAAATTTTTATGGAGAATAATCAACGCAACACATACGCAAGGCACACATTCGTGCTGTTTAAGTGATATTATCTAATAATTTTTGAAATGTTTTGAAGAATACACTCAAAATAAATGCCGGTTGTGCTTGTTGTTTCTGTGAATAGATTGACTAATGTTAGAATTTCAAAAAATGCTGAGTAATGATGCATAAACAGATTTTCTGTACTTCCAAACCTTAAATTACAATAATGCGATTTAAATTTTAAAATTTAACATTTTTATTAAATCAAAAAAAAAGTTGAGCATGTTTAACTTCCACTAGCAGGTCTAACAATCAATTCAGTAATATTCACATCATATGGAGTCATCAACATAAATTGAACAGTTTGTGCAAGATCAGAACCTTTGAGAATTGGAATTTTATTTTCCCCAATATGTTTTTTGATTTCTGGTTTGCTGAAAAAGTCAGCCGTGATTTCACTTTCAACTGCTCCTGGACTTATTTCCTGTAATAAATGATTTAATGACTTAGTGGCTCCTCAAACTATGTTTCATTACTTACACAAACTCGAATCTTTGTGTCTTTAAGCTTGTTGAGCTCCTGCCGCATTGACTCAGTAACAGCACGGACTGCATGTTTTGTTCCTGAATATTAATTATTAAATAATTTTTGCAACAATGAGCAGGAGATCCTTTAAATAATTTACTATACCTGCATAAACATTCAAAGGAAACTCGAAGGATGCATTGTGACCAGCCACACTTCCAATATTTATAATAATTCCATGGTCATCAGATTTCTTCATTAACTTATAAGCTTTCCTTGATACTCTGACCAGTCCAAGGAAATTTGTATTGATTGTATTAGTTATGGTATCCTCAATAGAATCATCATCACCAAATATCATTTTAAAATGTGCAATACCAGCATTATTAACTAGAATCTGAACAGTTCCTACTTCTTTCTCGATCTGTTCAAATGCTGCATCGATTGAGGCTTTGTCAGACACGTCACACTTAATTGGAATGAGCTTTCCTTTTTCATTCTTTAACTGTTCCTTCAACTTCTCTAATCTATCCATACGACGAGCCAAAGCAACTACATTAATCCCATGCTTAACAAGATCTCGAGCGATCGCGTCTCCAATTCCAGCTGAAGCACCAGTTACGATTGCTGTTTTGCCTTCCCACTTTTCCATGTTCACTCGTCAAACTTTAAAAAGATACTGAATAAAGCGACTGATTCTCCACTCGAATGTATAGTTTAGATAATAAGTTTCTATGTTTTATTTTACTACAACTAATGTGATTGAATTGTGAGAACTTTATCATTATAATTGAACTGTGAGAAGCAAAACTTCTCACAACGACTAAAACAAATTCGTTACTCAATTATTTATTTATCAAGGTTGAACTTTCCCTACATGATTATCAATGTATAACAACTACCAAATATGGTATAAAGATTAAATGAAATCTAAAATTAGATCGCACGAGTTTATTTAAGTAAAAGTTATATAGGAAGTCTACAGATAAGTCGTAGCCAATAGGGTGATTTAAGTCACACGCCCAGCTTCCTCTCGAATTTTTCTGATCAGATTTAATTCATTGAAATCAAAATCCTACAGATCTGTAGGATCAAATCAAATAAAACTAATTTTAAGTTAAAAATTAATATTTATTAAGGAACAAAAAACAGCAAGGAATTAAATCCTTTCACCAACCGGCTTCACAATCATTTCAGTAATATTAACTTCATATGGTGTCATCAGCATGAACAGAACTGTCTGTGATATATCAGAACCTTTTAAAATTGGAACCAACCCACTTTCAATCATTTCCTTCATTTCAGGCGAATTGAGGGAGTCGCCACCGATCTCTGTGTGAACACCACCTGGACTTATTTCCTGTTTTAAGATTTAAAACATCTTAATTTACTTAATATAAGGATAAATTATAAATTAACTTACACAAACACGGATTTTTGTGTCTTTAAGTTTATTGAGCTCTTGCCGCATTGACTCTGTTACAGCTCGAACAGCAAACTTGGTACCTGAATTTTAATTAAAAGCAATAAAAGTTACATTTTAAATTCTTCAAACTAGTTAAATTACCTGGATAGACATTTATGATATAGTCAAATGAAGCACTATGTCCAGCAATGCTTCCAATATTAATAATGATTCCATAGTCTTCAGATTTCTTCATTAACTTGTAAGCCTTTCTCGAGACTCTGACAAGCCCAAGGAAATTTGTGTTGATGGTGCTGGATATGATTTCATCTGTTTTGTCATCATCGTCTCCAAACATTCCATGTGTAAGAGCAATTCCTGCATTATTGACAAGAATCTGAAGTGTTCCAACTTGCTTGTCAATTTCCTCAAATGCCGCATCAATTGAAGCTTTATCAGACACGTCACACTTGATTGGAATTACTTTTCCTGGTTCATCTTTTAACTGATCTCTTAATGATTCTAATCTGTCCATACGACGTGCCAAAGCCACGACATTAATTCCATATTTCACTAAATCACGCACAATAGCATCACCAATTCCAGCTGATGCGCCGGTTACGATTGCAGTTTTACCTTCCCACTTATCCATTCTTACCCGAGTCTTGACAGAGAATTACTGAACAATTATTTGTTTTTTACTCTCAAGTTTATGATTTGAAATTGTTATCTTTATTGTTATCAATCCACGATTTGCACACAAATGTAATAATAACACAATAAAAACCAGTATGTAGCTAATCAAAGATCTTCAACTTTATTTATTTGATTATCAAAAAATTAAGCAAATAAATAAAAATTAAATCTTTTCTCCGACCGGCTTAACAATCATCTCAGTGATATTGACATCATAAGGTGTCATCAACATGAATAATACTGTCTGTGCAATGTTTGAGCTTTTCAACATTGGATACTCCCCGCTTTCGAGAATTGCTCTCTTTTCAGGTGTGAAAATTGTGTCACCTCCAATTTCTGTCAGGACCCCACCGGGACTGATTTCCTGTGAAATATTTAATAGGATTAAAAGTTGTTCATTAATGATGTCCATTTATTAAGGATATAGGAATCTGAGAGCAGTATGACACATTACAGACGGGGTTCTAAAAACCACAATTATTAGTGGATGTAATTTATGAATTGCTCCTTAATTACTCCCAATTCAAAGTATTTTGATTACTCACACAAACTCGGACTTTTGTATCCTTTAATTTATTGAGTTCTTGACGCATAGATTCAGTGACAGCTCGGACAGCAAATTTAGTGCCTGGATAAACATTCACGAGAAAATCAAGGGATGCATTATGACCAGCAATACTTCCAATATTAATGATGATTCCATAATCATCTGATTTTTTCATAAGTTTGTAGCCTTTTCTAGCCACTCTTACAAGTCCAAGGAAATTTGTGTTGATTGTGCTGGATATGATTCCATCGATCTTGTCGTCATCGTCTCCAAACATTTCATTCATCAAACAAATTCCAGCATTATTGACAAGAATTTGAACTGTTCCAACTTGCTTTTCAATCTCCTCAAATGCAATATCAATTGAAGTTTTGTCAGACACATCGCATTTTATTGGAATGACCTTGCCTGGTTCATCCTTTAATTGATCTTGCAAAGATTCTAATCTGTCCATACGACGAGCTAAAGCAACTACATTAATTCCATACTTTACCAAATCGCGCACAATAGCATCGCCGATTCCAGCAGAAGCGCCAGTCACAATGGCAGTCTTTCCATTCCACTTTTCCATGTTATCGTTTATGCTGACAAAATAAAACTGAGTAAAAAACTACTTTGCTCTCGAAATCACAGCTAAGAAAATTATTTAATAAATTTCAATTTGATAATGAGAGGAGAAAGAGCATGGGAATGAAAACTCTCACAAACTTCATAAATTACTCATGAAATAAATCAGATTAATGCTTATCAATGTCAACAATTGTTACCAAATATGGCACAGATTAGGAATCTTCAGATAGCACGCGGAATGATTCAATATCATTTTCAATATTTATTTTGGGGATTTTTATTTCCATTTTGTTAGCATTTTAGAACTAATAATAAAAATAAAGGAATATGCACTCAAAAATACTCAATTCAATATTTCTCCCCAACCGGCTTAACAATCATTTCAGTTATATTAACTTCATATGGTGTGATTAGAATGAACATAACCGTCTGTGAAATGTGACAACTCTTCAGTATTGGAATCGTCCCGCTTTCAATCAATGCCTTCATTTCAGGTGTATTAAATGAATCACGTCCAATTTCTGTGATAACTGCACCTGGACACAATTCCTGTGAAAATTTGATATATTATGCTTAAAAGTTATTTTTTAACTGACACAACTTACACAGACGCGAATCTTTGAATTTTTAAGTTTGTTAAGTTCTTGTCGCATAGACTCAGTGACAGCTCGGACGGCATGTTTAGTCCCTGGATAAACATTCAATGCATAATCTGATGATGAAATATGACCAAAAACACTTCCGATATTTATGATGATTCCATAATCTTCTGATTTTTTTATCAACTTAAAACTTTTTCTAGCAACTCTGACTAGTCCCAGAAAATTTATATTGATTGTGCTTGTAAAGATTTCATCAGTTTTGTCATCATCTTCTCCAAAAATATCTGCCATTAAACAAATTCCAGCATTATTGACTAATATCTGAATTGTCCCAACTTCTTTTTCTATTTTCTCAAATGCCGCATCAATTGAAGCTTTGTCAGCTACATCACATTTAATTGGAATGACCTTGCCAGCTTCATCTTTAAGTTGATCTCTCAATGATTCTAATCTGTCCATACGACGTGCCATAGCCACGACATTAATTCCATGTTTTACAAAATCTCGGACAATAGCATCACCAATTCCAGCTGATGCACCTGTTACGATTGCAGTCTTTCCACTCCACTTTTCCATGTTTTCTAGTCAAATTATAAAAGTCTACTGGAAAGACTGCTAAAGCTAAATTGATATTTATAGCGAAAAAAATTATTATTTTAAATTTTCTCTTCTTTTTTCATTCTACATATATTTTTGTATTCCAGTGTTTCTCAAACTATGCATAACGGAGCTTGTCCCATAAATGTGTTAATAGTGGTTGCTAGCGTGGCGCGATAACATACACTAATGATAAACCGCTTTGCATCGAGAAAAGTTTGTGAAACGCTGATACGTGTATGACCGATATGATAAGAACAAAAAATTTATCACTTTTATAAAAGCTGAATAAATTACTAATAGAATTAAACAAGATTGAGCTGCATGCCTTACATGCTTATCAGAGTAAGCACTGCCTCCAAATATGGATCACAATGATTTAAATTAATCTAGCTCTAGTTACGCGTGCCTTAAATTAAAAATCACTCAAAATTTTGCAACTCATTCTCAACTTTCTCGAGGTCACATATTCTCACACAAAAGATTTTCAGTCATTTTATATTTAAATTGAAACATATGCTCTGATTAATCCTCTATTGCTTATTGCATTCATTATAAAGAGGAATAAGAGGGACTGCAGATGTACTACCAGGAGAGTTGATTACAAATTTAAACCATGTTCAAGAGAGATTCGTGAGCTGAAGTAGATCAGTGGCAGAATTGTTTAGTACTTCGGTACCTAATTGTTGCAAAACCGACAAAACAAAGTTTGAGACTCGGCATGGAAAATATTCAAATGTCCTTTTTTAAATCATGTGTACTGGAAATAAAGCTCATAGCCTCACTTTATAGGCTACATGCAGGAATGTCATCAAAGGAGGGTTTCGGATTCCACTATAAATTGTAGGTCTAGGTTTGAGTACAGTGATTTGGCGCATCCCTGACTCGTTATACTCGCATCACCTGCGAATTGCCCTACCGCACCTCTGGATCAGAATTAATCTGCATAGGCAACTCCTAAACATGTTTTAAAATAACAAAATAAAAACGGTTTGCAGTCAATAGACTTAATTGTTTATAACTTTTATTTTATTTTTTAAAATTAAATCCAACCGGCTTGACAATCATTTCAGTAATATTAACTTCATATGGTGTCATCAGCATGAACAGAACTGTCTGTGAAATATCAGAACTTTTGAGCATTGGAAACATTCCACTTTCAAGCATTGCCTTCATTTCTGGTGTATTGAGGGAGTCACCACCAATTTCTGTGAGAACACCACCGGGACTTATTTCCTGTAATTAAAGGATAATCATTTTAATTGCTTGATTTAGGTATGAATTTTAGAGTCACTTACACAGACGCGAATTTTCGTATCTTTAAGTTTGTTAAGCTCTTGACGCATTGACTCAGTAAAAGCTCGGACGGCAAATTTTGTTCCTAAATTGAAGATTAATATTTATTATCAAGTTTTTTATTTCAACAATAAGAAGTTAATTTCTGACGCAATTCAAGGTTTTCTTGCTTCGATTTTCAATTTCAATGTGGGATATCACTTGTAGCCCTAGTAATGGTTCGAAACCGTACTTACCAGGATAAACATTAAATGGAAAATCAAATGAAGCATTATGTCCAGCAATACTTCCAATGTTTATAATTATTCCATAGTCATCTGTCTTTTTCAGCAATTTATAAGCTTTTTGTGAAACCCTGACCAATCCAAGGAAATTTGTGTTGATGGTGCTGACTATGACTTCATCTGATTTCCTATTATTACTGAATATTTCACTCGAGACACAAATGCCAGCATTATTTACTAAAATATGAACTCTTCCAACTCTTTCTTCAATTTCTTCAAATGCTGCATCAATTGATTCTTTATCAGACACGTCACATTTTATTGTAATGACTTTTCCCTTCTCATTTCTAAGTTGATCCCTCAATTTTTGTAATCTAACCATTCGACGAGCCAAAGCAACAACATTTATTCCATGTTTCACTAAATCACGCACAATTGCATCACCAATTCCAGATGATGCGCCTGTGACGATCGCTGTTTTTCCTTCCCACTTTTCCATGCTCACTTTAGGCTTGATGTGAAAATACTGAGAGAATTTTTGGTGATCAACTCATTTTTATTGTATAGAAAATTATCTTAAGTTTGAGATAACAAAATTGAGCATAAAAAGTCAGTCCACACTATTACGTTTTTGTAATCAATCGATATCAAAGTAAAGATGTATTTATCCTATAAACAATAACATCCAAAAACTAGGCTTGAATCAATATAAATTTATTCAAAATTTTTTCCATCATAAAATTTAATGATTTCATAAGAACTTTACAATTTTTCGCCAACTGGCTTAACAATCATCTCAGTAATGTTGACTTCATATGGTGTCATCAGCATGAACATAACGGTTTGGGAAATATCAGATCCTTTAAGCATTGGAATCACTCCAGTGTCAATCAATTCCTTCATTTGTGGTGTATAAAGGCATTTGTCTCCAATTTCAGTATAAACACCGCCAGGACTGATTTCCTGTTTTGGGAATTGAAACATTTTTAACTTGTTACATGCTTAATTCTATCAAATTAACATACACAAACTCGAACTTTCACATCCTTCAATTTATTAAGTTCTTGACGCATGGATTCGGTGACAGCTCGGACAGCAAACTTAGTGCCTGGATAGACATTTAATGGATAGTCTGCAGCTGCACTATGACCCATAACACTTCCAATATTAATGATGATTCCATAATCTTCTGATTTTTTCATCAACTTGTAGCCTTTTCTAGCAACTCTTACTAGTCCGAGGAAATTAAGGTTTACAGTGTTTGCAATGACTTCATCAGTTTTGTCATCATCATCGCCAAAAAGCTCTTTTATTAAACAAATTCCAGCATTATTAACTAGAATTTGAATTGATTCGACTTCTTTTTCTATTTCCTCAAATGCCGCATCAATTGAAGCTTTGTCAGACACGTCACACTTAATTGGAATGACCTTGCCAGTTTCGTCTTTAAGTTGTTCTCTCAATGATTCTAATCTGTCCATACGACGAGCCAAAGCAAAAACATTAATTCCATTTTTTACTAAATCACGCACAATTGTCTCGCCAATTCCAGATGAAGCGCCAGTCACAATTGCAGTCTTCCCACTCCACTTTTCCATGTTTACTTGCTTAAAGTCAGAGAAATACTGAGCGAATTTTAATGTTCTACTCAATTTTATGACAAACAAAACTGTTGTCTTCGTCTTGCTAGATTTTTTTTGCACAATAATGAAATATTTGCACACCATCAAATGGAAATGATACACAAAAGAAAACAACAAATTTGAAGTGTTAAATGTTAAGTAATCGACTGCGAAGATGTATTTTGAATACAAGCGACATTTGTTTTTTTGGAATTATAAATAATTTATTGCCATATTCGTCTCACAACTACACAAGTTTTAAAAATGTAAACATTTATTTCTGCGACTCTAAACTTTTTCTCCAACCGGCTTAACAATCATTTCAGTGATATTTACTTCATACGGCGTCATCAACATAAACAAAACTGTCTGTGACACATCAGCGCTCTTTAAAATCGGAACTGGATTAGCTTCTAGATAAGCTTTGATGTCTGGTCTGTTTCGGATGTCTCCTGAAATTTCAGTGTCTACTCCACCTGGACTTATTTCCTGTAAGAAAAATTATCAGTTCCTTTAAAAATGTTTTAAAAATAATCCTCAAATGACTCACACAAACACGAACTTTCAGGTCATTCAACTTGATCAGCTCTTGGCGCATTGATTCGGTCACAGCTCGAACTGCATGCTTTGAACCTAAGTATTATTATGAATTAATAATAATTAAACTGTGACAACTGCAAATTTATACCTGGATAAACATTGACATATAAGTCAACAGCACATGCGACACTATGTCCAGCGATGCTTCCAATATTGATAATTATTCCATAATCATCAGTCTTTTTCATCAACTTGTATCCCTTTCTAGACATTCTGACTAAACCAAGGAAGTTTGTGTTGATTGTGTTGACAATGACGTCATCAGTCTCTTTGTCAGTGTCTGTGAAAAGGCCATGCATGATGCATACACCGGCATTATTGACTAAAATCTGAACTGTGCCAACTTCTTTTTCGATTTGTTCAAATGCAGCGTCAATTGATGCTTTGTCAGATACATCACATTTTACTGGAATTACTTTGCCTTTTGCATCCTTTAATTGTTCCTTCAACTTTTCTAATCTTTCAAGTCTACGAGCTAATGCAACAACATTGATTCCGTATTTTACTAAATCACGCACAATTGCGTCTCCAATTCCAGCTGATGCACCGGTTACGATTGCAGTTTTACCTTCCCACTTTTCCATGTTCGCGACTACCTTGACAAATTAATACTGAAGAGACTCACCAAAATTTTATTCAATTTTATACAAGAGAGAGAGACTTCTTTACATTCTCAAATAAATGAATCCAATACAAACAAAAGCAAGTTAGTCATAAAATCAAAAAAATTCGTTATCTCTCTGCTTTTAATCCATCGCTTCTGTGAACGAAAACTAAATACAATTTTTTTTACCTTAAATGGTTATCAGTGACTAGAATTTCGTGCACTTCTTTACCAAATAAAGATTCATCAAATGTTTTGGGTGATGAAAAATGTTGCAAAAATTAATCAGACTTATTATTTATTAGCAAATTCTTCAAGGGGACATGACGTCACTTTGATTTTATTTATTATTTTTTTATAACAAAATACCGACCAGAACTCGACTTCAAGCTCTGATACCGACAAACAAACAAAAAAATCAACTTCTAAATCTTTTCACCAACTGGCTTGACAATCATTTCAGTGATATTGACTTCATATGGTGTCATCAGCATGAACAGAACTGTCTGTGAAATATCAGAACTTTTGAGCATTGGAATCATTCCACTCTCAATCATTGCTCTTATTTCTGGTGTTTCCATAGAACCTCCTCCGATTTCTGTATCTACTCCACCGGGACTGATTTCCTGTTTTGAGGAATAATAGATCTATATTTATTTTAATTAAAGGAAGAATTTAAAAGTCACTTACGCAGGCGCGAATCTTGGTATCTTTAAGTTTGTTAAGCTCTTGACGCATTGACTCAGTAACAGCTCGGACTGCAAATTTGGTACCTGATTTTAAATTGAAATTTATATCAAATTTTTGATACTTTGAAAATATTTCGTACCTGGATAGACATTAATAATGTACTCAAATGAAGCATTGTGTCCAGCAACACTTCCAATGTTTATGATGATTCCATAGTCTTCAGATTTTTTCATCAACTTATAAGCCTTTCTCGAGACTCTGACCAATCCAAGGAAATTTGTGTTGATGGTGCTGGATATGATTTCATCTGTCTTTTCATCATCATCTCCAAACATTCCATGCATAAGTGCGATTCCAGCATTGTTGACTAATATCTGAACTGTTCCGACTTGCTTTTCAATTTCCTCAAATGCCGCATCAATTGAAGCTTTATCAGACACGTCACACTTGATTGGAATAACCTTGCCTGGTTCATCTTTTAGTTGATCTTTCAAGGATTCTAATCTGTCCATACGACGAGCCAGAGCAATAACATTAATTCCATATTTCACTAAATCACGCACAATAGCATCGCCGATTCCAGCAGAAGCGCCAGTAACAATTGCTGTCTTTCCACTCCACTTTTCCATGTTAATGATCAAGCCGTCAAATGAGAACTAATGTGAATATGCTCTATAGTAGATTTTTTTTTTGCAGTAGAATTTTTATAGTGAAGGTCATTAATGCTTATTCTCTTAGTCTCTCTTAGATGCGGGAGAGCAGCACAGTTAAAATTAGAAACATCTCATTTGTGTTTATTTTCATAAATATTTATTGGTTTCTCTCATAGGAAGAGGAAGGTAAAGCAGTACCCCAAAAAAAATATATTTAAAAAACAGTAAATCCTTTCCAATATTCAGTTGATCACATCTTTTCACCAACCGGTTTGACAATTAATTCTGTGATATTAACTTCATAAGGTGTCATCAGAATGAACTGAACTGTTTGCGCTACATCTGAACTTTTGAGCATCGGAAAGGCTGCTTTAATTTCTGGTGTTTTTAGTGATCCCCCTCCTAAATCAGTAGACACAAAACCTGGGCTTATTTCCTGAAAAGAAAGAACAATTAATTATCTTCAATTAAGAATGAAATGTCAAGCTCAGATCTAAACATTTATAGACTAGTGTGAGCGTTCGTAAATAAAAAACTTACACAAACTCGGACTTTCACATCCTTTAATTTATTGAGCTCTTGACGCATGGACTCAGTGACAGCTCGGACAGCAAATTTAGTACCTGGATAAACATTCACGAGAAAATCTAGTGATGCATTATGTCCAGTTACACTTCCAATGTTAATAATGATTCCATAATCATCAGATTTTTTCATTAGTTTGTAGGCTTTTCTAGCAACTCTTACTTGCCCAAGGAAGTTTGTGTTGATTGTGCTGGATATAATTTCGTCTGTCTTGTCGTCATTGTTTCCAAAAATTCCATAGAATTGACCAATACCTGCATTATTTACTAATATTTGAACAGTTCCAACTTGCTTTTCAATCTCCTCAAATGCAGTATCAATTGAAGCTTTGTCAGACACATCGCACTTAATTGGAATTACTTTTCCTTTCTCATCCTTTAATTGATCTTTCAAACTTTCTAGTCTTTCAAGTCTACGAGCCAAAGCCACGACATTAATTCCATATTTCACTAAATCACGAACAATTGCATCACCAATTCCAGCTGATGCACCAGTCACGATTGCTGTTTTTCCACTCCACTTTTCCATGTTAATGATCAAGCCGTCAAATGAGAACTAATGTCAATAAGCATTATAGAAGTTTCTTTGCAGTGGAACTTTTAAAGTGAAGGTCATTAATGCTTATTCTCTTAGTCTCTCTTAGACGTGAGAGAGAGAGAGCACAGTCAAAATTAGAAACATCTCATTTCATTAATATTTACCAGTTCTGCTTTAAATTTCAGCTCAAAGGAAGTGTTGCTGTTAATTTAACAGCTTAGAACTAGAAAAAAAAAAATTTGCATCATTGATCCTTAAGAAATTATAAGAGTAAGGTAATATAGTATCCACAAAAAGGATGTTTATTAAACAGTAAAGCACTTCCAATATCCAATTGATCACATCTTTTCACCGACAGGTTTAACAATCAATTCTGTGATATTAACTTCATAAGGTGTCATCAGAATGAACTGAACTGTTTGCGCTACATCTGAACCTTTCAGCATCGGAAAGACTGCTTTAATTTCTGGTGTTTTTAGTGATCCTCCTCCTATGTCAGTAGATACAAAACCTGGGCTTATTTCCTGAAAAGATAACATAATTATTGAAAGTCTCAACTTTCCTCTAATCAACTTGTGCTTGATAATCAAGAATTGTCAAACTCAGATCTAAACTTTTGTAGATTAGTGTGAGTCTTTGTAAATAAGAAACTTACACAAACTCGAATATTTAAATCCTTTAATTTATTGAATTCTTGACGCATCGATTCAGTGACAGCTCGGACAGCAAATTTGGTAGCTGGATAAACATTCAGGAGAAATTCTAGTGATGCATTATGTCCAGTTACACTTCCAATATTAATGATGATTCCATAATCATCTGATTTTTTCATAAGTTTGTAGCCTTTTCTAGACACTCTTACTAGTGCAACGAAATTTGTGTTGATTGTGCTGGATATGATTTCATCGATCTTATCGTCATCATCACCAAACATTCCATGTGTCAAACAAATTCCAGCATTATTAACTAGAATCTGAACAGTTCCTACTTCTTTTTCGATCTGTTCAAATGCTGCATCGATTGAGGCTTTATCAGACACGTCACACTTAATTGGAATGACCTTGCCTGGTTCATCTTTTAGGTGATCTCTCAAGGTTTCTAAACGCTCCATGCGACGAGCTAAAGCAACCACGTTTATTCCATACTTTACTAAATCACGCACAATAGCATCACCGATTCCAGAAGAAGCTCCAGTAACAATGGCAGTCTTTCTATTCCACTTTTCCATGTTTATAGTTACGCTGACAAATAAAAACTAAATTGATTTTGATTTGAATTGAGAGGAATTGAGTTATTGGGCAATTCTATGGATGAGTTGAATTCATGAAAAATGAGTTACAATTCTTCTAGAACTTGAAATTTCAAACCTTTATATAATATAATTTAACTAAACTAACGCTTCATGAAAACCAGCTTAACATCTTCATTTACTATTATATTTTCATAAACAACATTCTAATCAAAGATAATAATTTAAGTTTAAGTTTAAGTTAAGTTAAAGTAAAATTTGATATATTTTAAGTAATTTTTTCACGGATTAAGAAGAAAAAGCTTTTGTGTTGTACGTGTACAGAATTTTATTAAAATTCTTCATTTTTCTCCTTAATAAGTGCTTATAGAAATGCCCTATTTTTTTAGCTGGATAGCATTTTCGAAACTTTTTGAAAACGAAGAGAAACTTTTACAAAATTAATTCACTTTTTAAAATAGAGACATAGAGGCATAAAGGACCGCTTTTTGGCTACGCACCTAGTTGATTGCTCAACTTGAACTACCAATTCTGAGTGAAAATCCTTAGCATCATTAGTTTTAAAAATTGATGAAATAATCCCATTGTACTCGTCATCGGAATCATTTGAACCCAATGAAAATCCATTCGGATGATCGATACGTTGAACTTAAAGCATTTAACACATGACTCATCATTAAATCTTCAAAATTAATTAAAAACCTTTAAGAAATTTACAAAATGTATGACTCAAGTCAACTCGACTTGGAGCTCTGTACATAAGTCTTACATATATAATCATCAACATAAGTAGAACTCTCAATCTACACATGTTGAACATAACATAAAGAAGGAACTTTGTTTATCAACATAAATAGAGCGTGTGGAATAGAAATAAAGGAAGAAGAAAAATCAAGAAAAACGACAAATAATTTTCATGTGCAAAAAAACAGACATAAATTCTTTCACACAACAAAATTGCCTAATGATATTCAGACAGCGTGTGTGTATCCACATATCTTCTCACAAACAAACATGCAAATAATTCATAAATAGTAAAGTGATTACATATCTAGCATATTTTCCTAATGTATTGTGTTTTTTGTACTATTTTACCCTTGCATGCGCTTCCTTGGTGCTCATACTATGTCTTACTAGAAGTTAAATGTGTTATGTAGTTTAAGGTCGTTCATAAATGATGTAAAAGTTATGCGAAGTGTGTTGCATGACAGTTGAGGAAGATTATGAAGTCTAAAATTCCAATTTTATTGATCAACATCATTTTCGAACGACTCCTTATGTGACTTTGTACTTATAAATTGCGATAGACAAACATTCATTCCTGAAAGTTATTTTTTATGATAAATTTTTCACATTTTTCTTTGTGCTTGATGATTTTTTTCTTCTGAACCTATTTTCTTGTTCTGCATTCCAAGAAATCTTTGCCAACTTTGTGATATGACTGAATACATTATAGGTATTATGGAAATCTTTTTTTATGGTAAATGAAGGAATTTTGTGAGGAATGGGATGATAAATTCTTACAAATTGGTATGCATGCTTACTTACTTGATTTTATTTATTTTACTGGTAAGTTGAATAGTTTTGCAGTGTTAAAATTAGACTCCCGAGCGACATACATACACAGGAAAATGCATCCATAGCAGGCGCGTAGCCAGGGGCGGAATTAAGGGGACAAATTCTCCTTCGTCTTGGGAAATTTCTTCATTTTGCTAGAGTTTTATGAAAAACTCGCCCCCCCCCCCCCCTAAAAGTTTTCCATAAAAAAAATTTGTCCACCCCTCTTCAAATTCTTGGCAATGCCCCTGATCCATAGTAACAATAGAACTTAGTCAATATGGACTTTCCTAATTCATGCTTAATGATGTAGAGTTATTGAGGTAATTGGGATCTCTGCAGTAAAAATCAAGACGATAGCTAAGACTACAGCTGAATTAAGAACAAGAGTAGCCAGACAGGGGCGTAGCCAGGAATTTGAAGAGGGGGGACAAATTTGTTTTTTGTATGGAAAATTTTTAGGGGGGGCGAGTTTTTCATAAAAACTCTAGCAAAATGAAGAAATTTCTTAAGACGAAGGGGGATTTGTCCCCTAAATCCCCCCTGTATACGCGCCTGTAGCCACGAGAAGGTTTAAATGTAGACTGTTGGATTCGTAGCTACCTTTTTGAATATTGAGTGTGATATTTCAGCATCAATAATGAAATCTCGTCCCAATTCTCATCAAGTTTTAAACACTCTCATGAAGTCACACAAATTGAGTTCAAATCAAACAAAAAATACATCCAATTGGCATTCCATCCAAATTTCAAACCCATTTTCCTTAAGTGCCTCAACCTATTTAATTATCATAATTTTCGATATCTTTCAATTTTCATCTCCTTTACACATTTTTTTTTTGTATATAAGAACAAGAAATAAAAACAAAGCCATAAGAAAAAATTTATAACTCTGTTTTTCTTCAACCCTTTTATTGCGATTGAATGTATGTTTTCTGTTTCTTATATTTTATGTGTATATTTCTGTATCCAATATATCTTTAGGGTGTCGGTGGAGATAAACTTTGTGGCAAAAAATAAAAACGAGAATATTTTTGTGTTAAATAAAAGCAAAACACACTCAATGATATTAGATATTCAACAAATTATTCTTTATTTTGGGGGCATTTATCAGTGACGTCTTTTGATCCTTTGTACCTTTTGTTAAGCATATCAAAAATTGTAGAACCCTCTCCCGAGCGTTGATTCTCCTTAATCTCGCTGCCAATCTAGTCCACTAATTCTTCCTGATAGACATCATAAGAGAATGATCCCCAATTTATTGCTGCTTCTTTTACATCACTCATATAGGTTGTATTGTAGTTAATGTGTAAATCACTCATATAAGTAGACTCATTTTGTATACGATAAGGTCTATAAGTTACAACCCGAGCCAGACACTACATCCATTCTCATACATTCCCATCAAGTCATGTTAAGGTTCTCTAACTCCATTTAGACATTCTTGCTACACAACAGCACCCAACCAACAAAATTATGCCGCTCGGAAAATAATTCCACCCCACTCAACCTTCACATTATTGCTTGCGGCGGTGAATCAATTTATTCATTCGCACAAATAAAATAGATAGCAAGCAAGAAAGGAAAAAGAATGGCAGCGTACATAATATATGTTAACATTCAAACATGCCTGAGCGTACGCACGTGCGTTTAGCATGTGTAATTCAATCAACGAATCAACAGTTAAGGGAAGAAAATCATTAATTTGCCTTCTTATGAATTCAATCGTAAAGCGAAAAAAAAAGTTTTTGCGGTGCGTAAATTGGATGGAATGAAAATGCTAATGTGTGCATGTGTGTTGATTTTTTGTGGATTGTTTTATTTTTCAAGCAATTGAAGGTTATTAAGCGATTGTTGGCTTTAAATATTATTGAAAAATCTTCAATGAGATTCCTTAAATGCCTAGTCAATTACACATGCACACACATTAACCACCAACTTGCTTTACAAGCTAAAATCTATTATCGCATTCTAAGAGATTTTATTGCAAAAATTGTTTATCTCTAGTTTTACGTCAAATTGTTTAATATTTTTATACAGCCCCAAAGACGTGAAGTTTCTCTCGTTCATCCTAACACTTATTGTAGGAATCGCTTATTATCAGAGAGCTATAAACAGTTGAAGAAGACGATGTTGTATTGTGTAAATGTATTATAGCATTCACTCTTTTCTATCAACCCCCAAGCTACAATTAGCTAATTATATTAAGGAACGTGATCTACGTGTCTATTCTATTCGTTACTACACATTCGGAAATGTATTTTCTAAAACTTAACAATTGCACCTAAACATTTATTTCCTTAACACTTTATGGATAGTGTGAATTTGCTAGAACAAGTTGCTGATTTATTGAAACACAATGAAATTTAAATTAAAATACAAGATTGCTCATTAAACGAGCATGGATATTGTTAAAATTTAATAATTTATTAAAAAATTCCCAACGCTCAAATTAGGAATGAGATTACGATAAAATTCCCTTATCACACCCCTCATCTTACTGTTGATCTTACTTAACGTCTTATTATATTGCTGGAATTACACAATTAAATGACATTATGGTGACATTTCGAGGGAAAAATAAAATTAAAACTTTTTAATTGGGAAGAAATTTTGTGGAAATTGTTATTGTTTTTCATTATTTCTTGTCAGTGGTTTGGCAGGGGAGAGGACAAAGCTAGAAGAGTTATTTCCTTAATATTCAGGCTACTGGGACCGGTTTCTTGGTGTACCAGGGACACTTAAGGATGTTCTTAGTTTAATTTTATTTAAATCTCATGTTGAAGTACATTGAATTGTATTCCTGCTCTTAGGTGCCATAGGGATCCTTAGAAACCGGCTAGAGAACCTGCTTTGTTGCAGTGCATATCTTAGGAAAACTGGGCCTGGTTCTGAATTAATTCCTACAAAAAATCATACCTCTCACTTCCCCTCCTCAACGTTTCTAGCAACACCATTTTATCCAGCCATTTTATGAGAAGATTTTATTAGGAATTTTGTGAATAAATCTTTGGTAGCTTTAATAAGTACAAACCCCCTCCTCAGCCTTCTCCTACCCTCAACACATGCAAATAAAATTTCCATAAAATTTCTAAAATTCTCAAAATAAAAGTTTTTAAAGCCCATGTCAAAGAAATAATTTAAAATGTTTTAATATTGCCGGAAATCTACAAGAGCAATTTTTAATTAAAACACAATGGCAAAAATAGGAACGAGAGGTAAAAAGGTAAAATATTATTCATTTTGTGGTCAAATTCATTTCGAGTCGAATTAAATCTTTTTCTCTATTTCATAAATAGCATTTTAGGATGTTACACATGTTTACAGGCATTTGAAATAGAATTCAAGTCTAATTTAATTTGCATATGAATAATATTATGAGAAGCGTTCATTTAAGGTTGTAGTTTGCACTTATTCTAATAA